ATGAATCTGATATGGTTGTGAATAGACTTGCACAACATTTACAATGTTGTCGCAACATTTGCTACCAGAGATGCATGGTAAATAACTTATCAGGCAGATACAGAGGCAGAGCATTTTATATTGGGGCCAGCTGCACTTGTATCCTCCTGTTTAATATAGCTCAGCATAAGTGTTAAAGATCAAAACCATGATGCCCCGCAACATTCTGTATTCGCTGCTGCTTCTCCTGTTCAGCTGTGACTGTATTGCTGAGGTCCAGCAGGAAGCGGACGAAGTGCGGGCTGAGGGGACTGAGCATTTGAATGTGAAAAAAAGACGTGCTGTTTCAACTCCTGGTGAGTTTCAGACACACATTCTCACAGGGATCCAGTCTGAGCTGGCAGAGCTGAAATCTACTGTGAGTTCTCTGAAGACCAAACTGCAGGTCACTGAGGAACAGCTGAAACAGCTCAGGAGAAACGGTAACATCTTCCTGCCTGTTCTCATCATTTCTGTCAGCCTATATATTCCAAACAGTTAAGAGTTTTAAATGTAAATAAATATCAGAGGAAAAAAAAATTTTCAGCCCATTAGTAGTAGTGCTAACACCTCAAGAAGCATTCCGTCCTGCAATAGAAATAAGTGAAATATAGGCTGTTGACAAAAGTGCCACGTGTATTCAGAAACCATGCTTTAGCATAACATTAACTAGCCAGCAGAAGCAAGAAACTATAAGCATATAATATACAATACACAGGTTTGTGTGATTATTGTGTATGGTTATTTTTTAACAAAACATGATCTGATTCACACAGAATATAAAGTGGCATTTGGTGCCACACTTGGATCAACAGGTAACTTTGGACCCTTCAACTCTCCAGTCACCCTGGTTTACAATAATGTCTATGTGAATGAGGGAAGAGCTTACAACCCAAACACTGGTGTGTGTTCTTATACTGAACCAATGTTTCACACTGAAAACTACATTTTGTCAAAATAAACAGCATAATTAAATAAAAAACACTGCTAATTGTTGTTGTACTATTACAGGTATCTTCACAGCACCTGTAAAAGGGGCCTATTTCTTCAGTTTCTCTGGACATAACCGCTCATCTAAAGTTCTGAATTTAGGACTCTTTAAAAATGGAGAACAGATGGTAATTGTTTTCAATCATCCTCTAGGTGACCGCTATGAATCAACAGCTAATTCAGTCTCTTTGACTCTAGAGAAAGGAGATCATGTCTATGTGCGTCTCCGTGAGACTTCATGGGTCTTTGATAATTACAGTCACCACAATTCATTTGTTGGGCATTTACTTTTCCGTCTTTGACAATCTTACTAAATTCATGAAGCACAAAGTCCAAACGAACATGTATTTTTGCTTGCAAAACTAATATTTTATTCTGGTATGTTTTCATATGCATAAAAAATACCTTTTTATGAATTTAAGATGTAGGCCTGGTGAAAGTTAGTGTGGTAGTGATGTAGATAGAAGGAAACAAGTACTATACTGCTGAATGAATGTTTAATATTTAACTCTTTTAACTTGAGCAACAAGCTGAGCTAATCAAATTTCAAAATTCACTTCTGCCTAGTGATAGAGGTGGGGAATGTCTAAATAGTTATATTAGAGAAAAAATTATATAGGCCTAATCATATAATGCTACAGTGCTCTTTGTTCATGTACCTATCCTATATAAACTGTTGTAATATTTTTGCTGGTGGGTTTTCTCTGTGATTTGTGTGAGATGAATGAATAAAGCATATCAAAGGCATTGTCTGGAGCCTTGTCTGGTTACTGCAGCGCAGCAGATTAATGAGGCAATAGAGATCTGCTGCATCTGAAATCACATACTTTCCTACTATATAGCAGGTGAAAAACAGTAGGCTATGTGAAAAGAGTAGTATGTTTGAATTCACAGTATTCATATAACAGAAGGCAAAAAGTATCCAGATGACTTACTACTTCCAACAAGATTTTGAGGGTGCATCTGATGAACTCTTTACTATCTCTAATGAGGCTTTAAATATTAAACCTGCATCTTTGTATTAAATCATTTTGTCTTTTTAAATCATTTGAAATTATAATTTTCATCGTCAGAGCTACTTTACTAATTCCATAAGGAGCAACTTGCATGTATCTTGTGTATACTCCCATACTGAATTTGGTTGGTTGTCCTAGCGTTAATTTAGTTAACGAAGACTATGACGAAAAATGTTTGTTGACGAGCTTTTTTCCCATGACGAAGACGAGACGATAATAAGGTCAATAAACGATAACTATGACTCTATATCAACATGCAATTTCGTTGACGAAATAAGAAGAGACTAAAATGAATTAAAAAAAAAAAAAAAGCTTTACCAAAAACTTACTAAAATGTACATTTGAGTAAGACTAAGACAAACTTAAAAATGGCTGCCAAAATGAATACTGTACGGTTAATTAATAATAATCTTAAATGCTAAAATGTCAAGTTTTCATTGACTAAAACTAGACTAAAATACTCTAGATTTTCTTGGACTAAAACTAGACTAAAATGTTGAGACTTTTACCCCGTTTCACAGACAAGGCTTAAAGGAACACTCCACTATTTTTGAAAATAGGTTCATTTTCCAACTCCCGTAGAGTTAAACAGTTGAGTTTTACCGTTTTCGAATCCATTCAGCGGATCTCCAGGTCTGGCGGTAGCACTTTTAGCTGTAGCTTAGCATAGATAATTGAATCTGATTAGACCGTTAGCATCTCGCTCAAAAATGACCAAAGAGTTTCTATATTTTTCCTATTTAAAACTTGACTCTTCTGTAGTTACATCGTGTACTAAGACCGACGGAAAATAAAAAGTTTCGATTTTCTAGGCCAATATGGCTAGGAACTATACTCTCATTCCGGCGTAATAATCAAGGAACTTTGCTGCCGTACTATGGGTGCAGCAGGCTCAATGATATTACGCAGCGCCTGAAAATAGACTTATTGGAAGTTACCTATAGCTGGGGACTATTTTTAAGCGCTGCGTAATATCATTACCCCCCCTCCCTAAAAATAGAATTACAAACCACGCTGTGTATTGTAAATTATATAATGATATATACTTAAAATAACTGTTTAAGTAGTAAAACGATATAAATGCAAATGGGGCAAAAAAAAGTTTTAAGTTTAAAAACATTTTCCCCCAGTCTCACAGACACGGCTTAAGCCTAGTCCTACACAAAAATGCATGTCTGTTCTGTTTTAACTGTATAAGAAACTTGCACTGACATATCTTAAAATATGTTAGTACTATTGATTTGTCACAAGTCGCATTCGGAAGGAGTGCTCTCTGGTTGAGATCATAGGGCACTCCAGCCGGTTGGTGTGACCGCACCTATTTTATTTAAAGGGGTCATATGATGCTTTTTTAAAGATCATTATTTTGTGTATTTGGTGTAACAGAATATGTTGACATGTTTTAATGTTCAAAAAACACATTATTTTTCAAATACTGTACATTATTGTAGGTCCTCTATGCCCCGCCTCTCTCAAACGCTTAGTTTTCTACAAAGCCCCCTCCTTTGACAAGCGCAGTCTGCTCTGATTGGCCAGCTGACCCAGTGCATTGTGATTGGCCGAACACCGCAAGCACTCGTCGGAAATGTAACGCCCCTTACCATAATCGCGAGCTTCATCTTTCAAAATAAATGTAAAGACAGAGCCCAAAAGGGGAACAGAGTCGCGTGACAGACACAGTGATGAAGCTGGTATGTGTTTGCAGTACACAAGCCACGGTTAAGACAGCTGACTCCACTGTGATGTGACCCCCTCTCTCTCTCTCTCTCTCTTTCTCTCTCTCGCTCGCTCGCGGTCTCTCTCTCTCTCTCTCTCTCTCTCTCTCTCTCTCTCTCTCTCGCTCGCTCGCGCTCTCTCTCTCTCTCTCGCCAGAATTACCTCCTCTCCTAGGTTCACGAAACGGTCGTCCATAAAATGCATTGCTGTTCTGTTGTAAGTAATCTTAAAGATTCCTAAATGCATCTACTTTCGTAAGGCCAAATAAAGTGCTTTTGCTTTCGCACTTAAACACACAGCGTCTCCCTGACATGTTGCTTCAACACTAACTGCGGTTACTTGAAACCACGCCTTCTTTCTTTGCTTGCACATTTGGGCGCATTATGCAAATATTTCCACATGGTGAGGTAGATATGTGGGGGCGTGTTAGAACGAGCCGTTTTAGGGGGGCGTGGCAGAGTCTTAACTTTGATAAAGAATATCTCTTTGGTTTTGAGACTTTAGTCTTTGCAACTTCAGGGATCTTATCTATGCACAATCAGCTTGTAACACTCCAAAGAGAAAGGAAAACTTGAAATCGCATCATATGACCCCTTTAAAGAGTTCCATAAGAAGCTAAAACCTCGTTACAATGTGGCAAAATAAAATAAACAAATGGTGTCACTCACAGCTTATTCTGTAGTCAAACATTGGCTTTAGATATTAACTTCCGCTTGTTTGTACTGTAAATCATTCTGATTATCTTTGTACTTTCGTTATTTTTTTGCACGTGACACGTTTTACCCAATAACTAGGTTGATTTCTTTTGATCTCTTTTTGTTTAATAAAAGGCATACAGCATATTGCATATAGCCTATCTTCTGTAAGTCATATAGATGAACAGATATGTTGATCCATCAGCAAAATATAGTTTACATATTCCCTATGAACATAAACTGTTTTGCTAATAGATGAACCCCGTTTTACACATGATTATCTGCAATACATAGGCCTACAGACAAATATTTTCTTTATTTTTTTTTGTGTTAGTTAGCTGTAATTTTTAGTTATTTTTAACCTAATCAAAATAACCCAACTGCAGTTTGATTGAGATTAATTGGAATGCACAATGAAAAAACATCATTTTTGAGAATTTGAGTTAACTTTTTTTTTTTTTGCAAATGAACTCTTCAAATATATATACAAACAAAGTTTTGTCCTCAAGCTGTACACAAAAGTAGAATAATTAGCATTTGAATGGGAAAGAGACACTTTCACTCATTCTAAGGAAAGTCTTTATTGGTCAATGTACAGAAAGTGCTGCAGTGACCATCAAAGAAGTTAAACAAAAACCCTTTACAAAACAAAAGGAGAGAAACATATACAAAAGAATAGTCTTACATGATTTTACAGGGTCAATCTTTTTAAAAGTTTCTTTTTTGTTTCTGTTCTATAACACACACGGTAAAAAGGACTAGTGAAATATAGGACTGAAAGGTGTGGAAGGTGGACGGAGGGGGAACGGGATGTCTCACAAGGCTGACATCACAAGCACGTTTTGGCTGATGGCATGAGAAATCCTAACCACTGCAACAGACATTACATGAAACCCAATGCACATATTCATAAATGCACGTCAAGGGGAGAAAAAATTAAATATCATCTACAGTTGCTCTGGTTTTACATAAACCTCTCTTCTATATGAAAACAAAACACAGTCAAAAGCCTTTTTTTTTTTTTTTTGCTTTTGTCTGTAGTTTACTTACATGTCAATTTCATTTCTTTTCCTGAAAGATTTAATTGAATTGTACACTGTGGGGAGGTTAGTAAAGACCTTCACAATATACCAAAATAGCTCCAGGCTAAAACCATTGAACAATTTTCTTCTATTTTCTTTCCTTTAATAGTTTAAAAGTGTCTTTGTCTACAGAGACTCAGACAAATCTATTTGAGGTGAAGTGAGGGAGAACCCATCCGCAGTTGAGGTGAGGACACCATGAACAATGAAAGAGAGATGAACACAGACAGAGAGAGGAGGAGGAGGAAACTTCCTCTTCAGCAAGCAAGTGTGGACACAAACAGGCTGTGTGAGGGATGCAGGAGGACGTGAGGAATCTGAGTCACCATTCAACTACTCTACAGTTCCCTATTTACAGATGACAGGCATATAAAAATGTACAGACACACTTCCTCCTATCTTACCACAGAGAAATCCCCCCCCCAAAAAAACTAAAAAATGATTTTTTTTTTCATGTTATCTCCTTACTATATAACTTTTGCTGAAAGAGAACCATCTCAAAATCTCTCTGAGGATCTAAAATAAACCTATTTGCTAGATTTCAAATGAAGAAAATATCATTATTGTATATATTTTCATTGCAAAAAACAACTTTTGGGTATTTACTATTGCAAATCAATGCAATATTCAATGCTACTCTGAAGACAACAAATGGTGAAGGCATAGCCACACTGTCAAATATTAGTTTAGTATTTCAGAAAGGAAGAAAGCATCATGATGTTAGACTCTAATCTGATTAATCGACAGACAAAAAAAAACAAAACAGTTTATGTAAATAAAAAACATCCCAGGGGTGTTGATTCACAATTAATTGCAAATTATCTGTGTCAAATTATCTTTACTTTTTGTGGATCTATTGAGACACTGCAGCTTTATACTACTGAAGTACATACAGGCTTTGCAGGACTGAGGGGTGCAATTCCCAATATTGACCAGCAGGATGCTTTTTGTGGGTGTAGGAAAGAGTCAAAATCAGGCTGATGTGTGACAGCTTTTCAGGCAATAAATTCTGGCTTCTGTAAGTGTGAAAGGGCATTAAATGCGAGTGTTTTATGTATGCATGTGTACGTCTGTATGTGTGTGTGCACAAGTCTATGTCTGCATGTGAATCTTGCTTGTGTGAAGGTGTATGCACATATGTATGTGTGTGTGTGTGTTTTAATAGGGTAACGTAGACGGGTCCCACTCCAGCTTTCCTTTCACTCTTCCCTTCTGGATGCTAGCCTCCTCCTCTTCATCACTGTCCTCAGATTCAGCACTAGAGAGCTCTCCTGCCAGTTCATCCTCCTCTTCGTCTTCACCCTCCTCTTTCTCTGGCTCCTCCTCCCTCACCTCCTCAGCAATCTGAGCCCCATCAATGCCCTACAACCAACAACAGAATGATGCTATATAGACCATCTTCATGATGAAAAGGTAAAACTCCACACATTATAGAGCAGAGTTGTTATTGTTAAAGGAATAGTTAATCAAAATATGAAAATTCTGTCATCATTTATTCACCCTCAGGTTGTTCCAAACCTGCATGAGCTTCTTTCTTCTGATGAACACAAAAGAAGATCTTTTAAAGATCCAATGGTAGCCATTGACTTTGAAAGTATTTGGCTACCATCAACTGTTTGGTTACTAACATTCTTCAAAATATTTTGTTTTGTGTGTGTTCAGAAGAAAAATGATGCTTTCGACTGTATAATACATTCATTCAAAACTCACAACCTAGAGCAGGGATGGCTAACATCGGTCCTGGAGAGCCGCAGTCCTGCAGAGTTTTGCTCCATCCCTAATCAAACACACCTGAACAAGTAAATCAAGGTCTAAGGGTTACTAGAAAGCTACAGGCAGGCGAGTTTTTATCAAGGTTGGAGCAAAGCTCTGCAGGACTGTGGCTCTCCAGGACCGATGTTGGCCACCCCCCGGACCTAGAGTTTCAAAGCAGTTTCCCCAACACTGGTCTTTACCATTAAGGCACATACTGACCTCCATGGGATTAACAGTGATGTTAAGATTGGAGTTGTCCCAGTCCATCTCTGGATCTTTTCTTCCCTCTTCGTCCTCTTTTGAACCGTCCTGGTGGGTGGTGTGGATGCGGTAGATGCCCAAGACCACAATGACCACCAGAGTGGCAATGCACATTACAATTACCACAGTCGCAGCAGGAGGGGTACCTAATGACACATGGGTGAAGACATACACACATTTTTTATTTTATCTTGTTCAACCAAACTGCAAAGTTGTGGCATGTTACTGTACAAAGGGGAATTTTAAATCCAGATTTGATAAAACATGTTCAAAGCAGTTGAATTCTATTATTATTTCATTAAGTTGATACAAACCATTAAAATTGTTATTGTGATTAATAATAATAATAATGTAATTATTTACTGATCATTGTCTTATATCATACTGATGTTGCCAGAGTTTCATACAAGTAAGAATTCCAACATCCTTTCCATGTTAGAGGCATATTTTCCAGTTTTTTCTCAACCAACACCTTGAGACGTGCACAAGTCTCTTATACTCACCAAGGCTGCATTTATTTGGATTATTTATGTGAAAAATACAGTACAAATAGTAATATTGTGGAATAAAATAAAATAAAATATGAATATTATTTACAATTTAAATATATTTTAAAATCTAATTTATTCCTGTGATGCAAAGCTGAATTTTCAGCAGTCATTACTCCAGTCTTCAGTGTCACATGATCCTTCAGAAATCATTCTAATATGCTGATTTGCTGCTCAAGAAACATTTCTTATCAATGTTGAAAACAGTTGCACTTCATAATATTTTTTGAGATAGATAAAAAAAAGTTTACATTATAAATGAATGAATGAATGAATGAGGTATTTATATAGCGCTTTATTGTGTATTGCTGTACACCCAAAGCGCTTTACAATCATATGAGGGGGGTCTCTCCTCAACCACACACCAACTAAATACTGTACCTTTGGTCATGTATACAATACTGTACTGTACCTGCTGATCATTTTAATGTGTCCTTGCTGAATAAAACTATTAATTTCCTTAAGAAACCCTTTTGAACAGTATATAGAGAGAAACAGAAAGAGACGGAGAGAGATTTATGGGTGTTTTAGTCACCCTGCTTTACTTTTAACTGTAGTAAAATAACTGGAATGCATGACCTTGAGTCACTTATTGCTCTAGTCTCTCTATCCTGCAATTATGTATATTCATAGTATTGCTATGACTCACTCAGCCATACAGAAATCGATACAATCCTGGATTACTGTCGTTTAGAGTGTTTCTAAGGGAGGTCTGTGAGGTGAAGCTTATTTAGCCGTGCTGACAGCGGAAGACAGTTTCACACAGTTCACTTTAAGAACAGTGTCGTTTACTGAGACCTTGCAGTCAGCAAGAGCAGGATTGGGAGCATGAGGTCACAGTGCCACCTGCTGTTTTTCCATGTCTCTCCTAAAGCAGCATGTCTCGCATCCTGTCATCTCTCTACCTCTTTCTTTCTTCAGTCCAGAGAGCAGAATGCTCCATCTCGCTGCAGTCAGCTGTGCTCTGTGCGCCCTTGGGGAGATCGCTGGTGTCCCTGGTGTGTGTGTGAGCTGGTAGAGTAAGTGTAATTTCCCAAGCTTCTTCAAACCAACAATACGGTCTCAAGAGCCTGTCGTCCGCTTAGACCAGTGTGCGGGTTTTGTACGTGCATGTGTGTGAATATTTGCTGTAATCTCCCATGAATAGTTTTTGTGACACATTTACTGTCCTTTTAAAGCCACTGGTTTACAATTCAATTAGATGGTTTAACAAAGGAACAACACATTATCAGAAGATAAAGCAACTAATTTTCATTTTCAACACAGTAGTATCATACAGGGTAAAATCACTGCATGACCAGGATTGAATGAACTTATTAACTTATTAAGAGGCATCTTGGCTGACTTTACCTGAGATGTGATCAGAGTTGACAGTATGAACCACCAGTGGATGATGCACCGGTCTCATGAACTGGGATTGGACAGCCATGTGATTGACATGCTCCACGGCCTCTGAGCTGCGCACTATTCCAATCTGAGAGGCGGGACAAACAGAAAATAGTTCAGAGAGACAACCGGGAGAATGAAAATCGAAATGTTTTGAATCCATAACATTATGGCCAGGTTAAGAGATTTCAGCAAAGCTTTGTTGCATTCTAATAAAAAAAAATATATATATATATATTTTATTTTATTTATTTATTTTTTTTTTGGTTAAGCTAGTTATAATAACTCCAGACAAATGCTCTAAAACTGTAACTTTGTCATTTTAACATGTGAAATAAGTTTTAGTAAATTACATTGTCATTTTTTTTTTTTTAATGTTGCTATTCATTTAGGTTTAACTTTTATTTTTAGTTCAGTTTTTATTTATGTATAGTAGATTTCTAATTTTTTGTTTTGCTTAGTCTAGTATTTATATTTTATTTCAGGTTCATTTTAGTGAATTCAAATGTTTTTAATAGTTTTAGTTATACATTTAGTTAACGATAATAACAAATAACAATATAACGATTAACGGCGCATATTTCCCATGTTTAACTTGACAAAAGCAGATGCAGTTAGTGTTTTGAAGGTCTGTTTCGGTATCAGAGTAAGACATGCGGGTCAAGCAAGTTTGAGACGGGCCTGGGTATACAGGTGCATCTCAATAAATTAGAATGTCGTGGAAAAGTTCATATATTATAAATATAAAAATATAAATTCATTAATATGAATTCATTATAAATATAATAATAACATTATACTGTATATAAAAATACTATACAACTGAATTTATAATAATGATCCTATTCAATACTGTATTTATTACAGTATAACTACAGTATAGTCATAAAATCCCCCATTTAAAGCCCCCAGATTTAAATCTGTAAATTTTAGGATATTGTACACTGCACTTAATTTTTTGAAGTACTGTGTCATGGTAGCTGGTTTTGTCTCAAGTGTTCCCACTGATGCAGACCAATTTCCCCTAATTTACTTGGTGTAATCTGTACAATCATTCAGAAAGACTGATGAGCCATTATTTAAATAGGCTACCGTTTTATTACTGCCTGGCTTATTATTGCACTATCATGAATTTTAGATTTATCCTCTCCTAAAAGTTTCAAAAAACCAAAGACTGTGGTTGATCACTTTACATGTCCGTCAGGACGGTGTCTTTCTGTCCTAATGGCCAGTTCTTAATCAGAAATCAAGAGTCAAAAGTGCACAGCTAACTTTTAAGTACTAAGTCCAAAAGTGCAAAAAGCTGAAAGAAGAGCAGGAATTGAAAGAGGGGATAAAGTGAATGGATGATAAAAAAAAGCCCAGTATGAAGGCAGTCTCTGACCTCAAAGTTGAACTCATTGCTTGTGTAGCGTCCATTCAGTTCAGAGCAACTGAGCCGGAACCTTCTCTCAGACAGACCGCCAGGCTTCCAGTTACGGTATCTCACCTGCCTGATGGCCTGTTCATAATGCGCCATGGAGTCCACACCTGAGACCAAAGAAAGACCAGTGTCAGGAACTCGGTCTACTCAGACAAAAGAGCTACAGAGGCCTGGGAGAGACTCAACATGGAGTCCCTGAACAAGTATGAGGTCTTAGTCCTTCTCTAATAACTCTCCAACCACTTTATGAAATGTCACAGTGATTTGAATTTGCCAAATTTGAAAGCCAAATGTACAGTATGATTGATAGAGGCAGCGATCTGTGCAAGAGTCTGAGCAGGATCTGGGTTAAAGGCTTTTGAGCACAATTGAGAGTGACTTTTAAAGATCAAAACTTTTTTCAAATTCTTTAAATGGATTTATATCACTCTTTTGCATTTAATGACAGTGGATGGGGATTTGGGTTGCCAAAATGAAAACGAAAAAAAAAAATAAAAAAAAAAATAAACGCCACCCACAAGATTTATTGTATACACTACTGTTCTAAATTTTCGGGTCAGTAATTTTTTTTAAACAGAAAAGTAATACTTTTAATTGGTAAAATTCATTCAATTGATCAAAACTATTTAAAATAAAAGCTGTTCTCTTTAACTTTCTATTAATCAAAGAATCCTGAAAAAATGTATCTCAGTTTCCAAAAAAATATTAAGCAGCAGAACGGTTTTCAGCATTGATGATAATAATAATAAGAAATGTTTCTTGAGCACCAAATCTGCATATTAAAATGATTTCTGAAGGATCATATGACATTGAAGATGAGAGTAACGATTGCTGAAAATTCAGCTTTGCTTTCACAGGAATAAATTACACTTGATTAATTACACTAAAATGTATTCAAATATATAACAGTTATTTAAAAATTTAATAATATTTCACAATATTATTGTTTTCACTGTATTTTTGATTAAATAAATGCAGCCTTGGTGAGTATAAATGACTTCTTTCAAAAACATTAAAAATCTTACTGTCCCCAAAGTTTTGAACTGTAATGTATAACAAATAATCTAAAGCCATAAAATAGCTTTGCGTAATTGAAAACAGATAGAAATGTAAATCACATAATATGTAAATGTCAGTAACAGAGTCACTGTACAAATGGATACAGATAGAAAAAAATTCTCAGTGAATGGGGTTAAAATGTCAGTCTGTTCCTCACACAAATCTATGGTTTGGCTTCAGAAGACTTATATGACACACACGTCAAATGGAGATCTTTTATTGCTTTTATTGTGCTTTTTTTTTTGTCATGTTGGAGCATGGTCCCCATTCACTGTCACATGCTTCAACTCGTCTCCCTTTGTGTTCTACAGATGTGTAAATGATGACAGATTTCTCACTTTTGGGTTGATTGCATGAACACAAGGAATACAATCAATGTAATACAATCAATGTCATGTTGCAGAAGTTGAACATCTACAGATACATTAAAGATCTAGATTTAAATATGTTCTACATGTAGAACTTATGTAAAAATGAAGCAATGGGAAGATAGAAAGTAATAAGCTGTGGATAAGCAATAAATGAAAGGGTCACTGCAAAGTAGAGTGAAAAAGAGATTATGAGAAACATTCTAGCAGCAGATGGCTGTATAGTAGATCGAGACATGTGGTCGACCATACCGTAGATGGAGATGCCAGAGGTAGAGTTGGTGGCATCCAGATGTTTGCCCAAGAGAGAGCTGTGGTGGATCTCCAGACTTTCCCGCTCCGGTTCCAGCTCCTCTCCGATCACCAGCACATCACAATAATCCAGGTTATGCATCAACTCCAGCACACCAGGCCTCCGGACTACACACACAAACACACACACACACACACAGTTACACAAGGACAAATACGCAGTAGCAAATATATGACCTCCTGCCGTATCCACAAACAACCATTGATTGTGTATGAATTTAATTTAGATGATTTATTGTTTCACTACTCCTGGCTCTCAATTCGATAAAAGAAGCCGGACACATTTGTTGAACTTTAAATGAAAAAGGACACTAATAAAAAACAATTGACTTAAGGTCAGTGTCAGTGTAATAACCAGCAGAAGGCATTTATAATCTTGATGATAATAGACTAAACCATTATTTAAAAAAAAAAAACAACATGCTGGGAAGAATCCGTGGGAAGCAAATTCAGTAAATATTCTAAAACGTTTATACGATTACATTACAGGCAAAATGTGCAACTGTGGCACCTCTGAAATAGATGAATGCAAAGCAGTGAGATTGTTAATATATGAGCTGTGAAAGTGAGTCATCTATCACCTATGCTGAGGGTGGCGTCAGTCTTGGTGACGGTACTAATGATGTGTATGTCCTTGAACAGGTCCACCCCGACAGGGGCCCGGAGCTGAGCCGCGGGCCAAACCAGCCGCTCCACTCCAGCAATGGTGATCCGAGGTTCACTGGGCGGCAGCACCATCACCATCGCTTTGATGTCAGGAATGGAGATGCACGTATCTTCACCAAAACACCTACAAAATTGCAAAATAGAAAGGAAGGAAACAAGAGACTTATTCGGTGTAACACTGGAGGTGTAGAACTGATGCAAGGGCCACAGACTGACACGAAAATAACTATTTTAAAACAGTTTCAGCTCTGATGGGATAAGTCGTGTACAAAACGTCTGTTTCTGTCCTGTCTACGCCATTCTGGAAATTGCTTTTAGGCAAATTTTACACCAACAATACTTTTGGGCAGAGTTTTTCCCATGTTTATGACGGAATGAGACCAGAACTAGTAACATGTTTGGACACGCCTACTCATTGTGATTTTCATCATCAGAAACATTCATCCAGATGTGTCCAAAGTTTTGACTTTGTGTACATATGAATAAAGACATAAAATAAAGATAAAAATGAGCAAACAAATTAGGAAATACATAGTAAATACTTTTTTACAAGGATAATATTTTTTGCAACACCAACCAACACAAACCAACATTGTAAGTAGTACATGAAAAGTTTAAATTAATTAAAATGAAAGCAATTAAAATTTAAATTAAGGAAATGCATAAAATAAAATAGAATAAAATAAAATAAAATAAAATGTAGGCAAATGCATAAAGGTCATTTTGGCTTCCTTTACGGAGACTCGTGTTAAAAATACGAAAGTGTTTGTTTTTTCCCCCTAAACCTATGATTAACAAATTATTATGTAAATTACATTGTTGAGGCTCACATACAAGATTCATAAAGAATACATGAAATATCAAGGAATTAAGTAAGTTATTTAAAAATGTCCCCCCTTTATGCAGACAAACACACTTTAACACTGCAAATAATTAAACACTCTTGCTTCCCAAAATAAAGTCTGTATCTCACTTTGAGTAAGAGCCCATAAAAATGCACTGACACTCACAAAGTCTCTTTTTCAAGTGAGTGTTTGGACAGTTGATGACAATAGTATCTAACTTTTGTTTCAGACTGTCATCGTCACCTTCAGCACATGTCGCACCTCACAGGTGAAATCAATCATGGGACCAATTAATGATGCCGAAACATAGTTAGTTTTAAAGCAACGAGTCGACAAAAAATATTTGCGAGAACAAGAGCAGTGTGCTCAGTTTGGTGCCACCTCCTCCTGATGCCAGCTGAAGAGGTTGGTATGGCAGTCAGAAGCCGTGTTGATTAAGACTGAGGTGCTGAAGCGTGGACTGCAACAGACTCGCACACAGACCTGCTAGGGAAATTGGAGTCTCTCCAGCTTAATTACAGCTAGTATGCGAGGAGAAAGGGGGAAATGAAGTGTCTAAGGATTAACAGGCCTCCCTTTCGCACGATGCACCCAGTAATTACTCTTTTTCAAGGGTGAGCCCTAAAGAGCATTCATTGGTTTACTAATTCATTTATATACTTGCCTGCTAATTAAGAACTATCTATTTGTTCAAGACAACAATGCGCTTTCTGCCACCATCTCGGGCGGAGTGATGCTTAGTTGCGCTCGAGCGATGGTGCACTATCTCCCTCAGGTAATTTCTCTGTGCGGCTCACCTAAACGCTCTCCCTCAAGTCGCCACGGAGAATGGCCTTGAATGAGAAGGAAGGGGAGCACAAAATTGTGTGGAACCAACAAAACAATTACGTCTAATGACTGCAGTAAAAATAATGGTGGAAAGTTTGTGATGTGTTAAAGTGGCTCCCTTCGGTCGACTTGAGCTACATACTAAAAGAAAACAGTCGAGAGCACACTCACTCATTAAAAAGGCTTTGTGAAAAAGGCCAACAATCTTGCTTTATTTACAGGGCTGATTTAAGGATATTGGGAGCTGGTCTAAGCCAGACTACCGCTATTACAAGAGCTACGGCTCACTCCACTATCGACCAGGGAAGTCTGTTCTTATTTAGGCAATCCTCTTCACCAGTGCACACTAGACAAGTGTAGAAGCCTCTCTCTTCTTTTCATTCTCTCCCACTCTCACTTTCTTCACGCTAAAGTTTCATTTGGATACGTATTAGCCATGTGCGATTGGATCCAATAGGTTTCATTAGACTGCTGTCAGATGACATGATCCTTTCACCCTTGACAATCAAATAAGCGTCTCAAAAGAGAAAAGGACACCCACAAAACCTTGGGAATTTAGCTAGCAGTTTCAGAAGTGCTGCATTTTCATTTTTTTAAAGAAAAAATAATGGTAAAAGTGTAATATTGTGAAATATGATTGCAATTACAAATAATTGTTTTCTATTGCAATATATTTTAACATTTATTTCTGAGATGACAGAGCTGAATTTTCAAAAGCCATTACTCCAGTCTTCAGTGTCACATGATCCTTAAGAAATCATTATAATATGTTTGTTTGGTGCTGAAGAAACATTGTTGAAAACGGTTAATATTTTTGTGGAAACCATGATATTTCTTTTCAGGATTCTTGGATGAATAGAACGTTCAAAAGAAGAGCATTTCTATGAATATTTCCACCCTCTGCCAGCTGTAGCGACAACAATGTCTCATAAACAATGCAGGTGTTTTGTAGTTGAATGTAAAAGTGAACATAAGAGTTTTCATTTTCTCTCGACATCAGAGCCACTGAGGACGCAGTGGATTAGTTTTGTTTTTGATGGTAACGCACCACCGAATACACCTAAATTTGTTTATGTCTGTGCAAATCATTTTACTCCATGTTAAAAAAAAGTTTTGTCTTTTTTTTTCTCCAAAAAAAATAAATAATAATTTCTCCATACTACTTTTTGAACGAGAGACAATTCAAGGCAGGTTTTGCTAAAAGGTTAAAGCTCAAGGATGGATCAGTACCCACTGTTCGTGATCCAGCTGCACCTCCAGAAGAAGTCTCACACTTTTTATTTTTATGACTATTTGCAAATTGTCACGGAAGAGAGGGGTGGGGGTGAGCAGTAGCTCATTAGCATTTAAAAACCGAAACGGGTTGCTGTGAACAGAGCTGTTTTTGACAATGTAAAAAGGGTGTTGTTTTACATGACCATTGAGGAATTTTAACCAAAGTATGTTGCAGACATTTCATGAAGACCCTAAAGAACCATAGCAACTTGTGGAAAATGGGCATCCGATGTCCCCTTTAATTATCAGTTTAGATCTCTCTCTGGTATGCTGCAACAGAAACCATATTTAAAAAAAAAAGTTGTGGAAAAGCTATCCAGCTCAACAACTGAGCTATTGTAGGCATTTAAATCCGCAGCTTGAATCACAATTATTTATTAGAGGAGTGTGAAATCTACAAAATAAATAACTTCTGTTCATGAAAGGGAGTCCAGGTGGTGATCAATAAACAAGAACCATCGAACCATCATCTTCCCCAATTATTGACCTGAAGTGCTTGATAGTAAAGCCTCTGTGCATTTTATTGTGTGAGAGGATGGTGGCGACAAGACGAGAGAGATATACAGTGAGAGAAAAGAGATAAAAGAATGTAAGATCACCATTAAAATGAGACAAGAAGTAACCCCTGTAAAGTCTTAATATATTATCACATTGCTTTAGATGTCACATTAACAGCTGGAAGTCCTGCTCTGCACCATTTTTTGCTCTGCTGTGGGGTAACAGTAGTGTGTTATTCTACAATATACTGCAATATGTTGTGGTAGTTCACCCAAAAATAAAAAATTCTGTCATCATTTACTCACCCTCATGTTGTTCCAAATCTATATGGCTTTGTGTGAAACCCAAAATCAGATGTTTAGGCCAGATGTCCAGGCTGCTCTTTTCAATAAAATAAAAGTGGATCTGCTGTGGTCACATAGTTTAGAAAGTCAGTCATACAGGTTTGGGACAATAAATGATGGCATAATACTCATTTTTGTGTGATTTCCTTTAAGCTATGTATTGTGCAGAGCTGTGTTGTCACTCTCTGACCTGTGCTGTGTGACAGTATCTTTAATTGTGTTGTACTGTACTGCGGAGGCTGGCTTTCTGACACAGCAGATTTTATTTCATCATGGCCTTTCATGTTCTCTTCAGCTGGTCTCACTACAGTCATCACCACCAGCAGGCCTGTCCATTATCCACATAAACAAGAGCACTGCCAGAACACTACATGCTGCTGAAAATAACAGCTTCAGCCAAGTTGCTTTGCTATTAACTCTATAGCTCAAACACTACATGGCTCTTGCAATACCAAGGTCATGGGTTCAATTACTAGGGAATGCATGAACTGATAAATTGTATGTCTTAAATGTAATGTAATTTGAATAAAATTATCTGCCAAATGCATAAATGTAATGGTTATAAGCTGGTTTTAAGATGGTCTATTTGGTCTCCCAGCTTGTGAGCAGCTGGTTCAGGCAGTTTTAAGTGCCCAAAACCTCTCTTAAACTTGCAAACCAGATCAATTTGATGATTATTAATGACAATTGTTCTCATTTGAGAAATTTAATTTCAGAATTACTGCACTTTCACATAAGCACGAATCAAGAGAATGACAACCTAATATAAATTCCTAACTTATTATATTTATCATAGCTTATGCATTAACACACTCTTCACAAAAACTGGTAAAACCTTACCAGGCATCTCTTAAAAAACAGAAGTTTTTCTATTAAAACAACAATCGGCACCTTTTTGCAGTACAGAATGTGTGCATGGTTGCCAGGTTAGGTAGATTAAGTAAAACACTGGGCAGTAACCATTCATCTTTAGAGACTTAAGAGAAAAGTTTCAATCTGGTAACCCCAAGCGTGAAACCTTGTGAAGGCTTGTTACCATTATAACAGAAATGTCAAATGAAAAAAACTTTCAGGATAAATAACCAGAAGACAATTATGGTTAATTAATCAAGAGAAGCAGCAATCGTGATCCTGATTAAAATACAATTACTCATGCAGCCCTGGTATAAGCTGTATTTTTCAGTAGGGCTACACTTTGGAGAAAAAAACTATTTTATTTTCTCTTCACCTCTACTCAGTTTTGCTGGGGTAAGTTTCTTTGGGATATGTGGATATGAGTTTAGGGCACAGCCAGATTAGATACAGGTACTTGAGAGTCATGCAGTGTAAGACAGATGTTATCGGTAACCAGAGCAACCTCATCCCTTAGCTCTGTAGTATTGATCAGAGAAAACCTTCTGCTGCCGCTCATCCTTCACTCATAAACATCTAGCCTTGCTTTTATTAACAACACTTGCTTGTGAGATTAAAAAAAAATAAAATGATCACCACACATTCAAAGCACTTAACACTTTAAATGAACCCCAAAAATGCAAGCTAATTACACTTAATCATTCGCTCGAATATTTACTCCTATACTTAGTATTCATCCTGTAGAGATTTCATTGCAGCGTTATCAATCTATTAAAGTCTTTATGAGCTGATGTTGTTATGCTTGATGGGATGTTTTTGACTTTTAGTGCGGTACTCACTGGACTGTAGTGGTTATGTGGAGTTTGCGCAGACCGGGAGTGGGAAACTGCCGAGAGTTGATGTAGGAAACTTTTGTCATGGCTGTGTTGATGCTCTCCAAGTCATCTGCCTCCATGACCAGCACTGACTGAGCCGGGTTGAAGTGGAACTGAGAAGGATCAAGACAGTGTGAGAAAGAGCCAATTTTCATAATCGAGAGAGAGGAAAAAAAAAAACCTAAACGCAAAGGAGCAAATGACCGAGTCAACACATTTACATATAGATGAATAAATGATGGCTGGGAATGACTGACATCAAAGGAATCTCAAATATATTCAGATGATATTAAAGAGATGGACAAAGAATGGAATGCCTATAATCTTTCCAATGAAAGGCTTTCATATATGTATGTGTATGTGTGTGTGCGCATGTACCTTTATGCCTTTTCCCAGACTCTCAAGCGAGCTGATGTCCAGGCCTTCCTTGCAAGCCTGTAGGCAGGAGATCACCTTTTGAGTTGCAATCTTCCCAGGTCGGATAGTCAAGCCTGAGAGGCTTCCCCGGAAATACTGTGTGAACCTTGGAGTGGTCACCTCTCCTCCTGTAAACAAACACATTACAAATCATGCACACGCATACTTGCAGTCACTGGCAACAAAATATACTGTACAAAAGCAAAAGATATCTGGAAGCTAAGTGGCACTCTGTGTGTGTGTGTGTCAAAAAGTCAAAAACACTTTATCTGACACTATCCAGAGGTAGGAAGACAAGCCTGTCTACTGAAATGCCTCCATCTGCTAGGTGTTTAAAAAAAAATGTTTTTGTATTCTTTGCTGTCTATGATGATAATATATGGTAATATATCAAAACAGACTCTGATGGACCATCTACAAGAAATCAGTTCATTTATATATTCTATATATCATTTTGTATAAATATTTTATTATTATTTACAGTTTTTGCAATCGAGAATTACACTGATATTCCTCAGATTTTTCTGCTTAAATACAAATTTATGCAAATAATCCAGCTCAAAACATTTAAGTAGATTTTATTCAAAGTTTTCATAGATAATTTCATCCTTAAGTGTGACGTATGCTAGACTTCTCCAATCATTTAATCTGCTTAAACCCCGACTCTTTCTCACAACCATCTGCAAGCTCATATTCAGATCTGCCTGCATCCAATCAACAACTGATGAATAGAACCAAGTCGCCAATAACACATGCCTGTCGCCAATAACACATGCTGTTTTCCCTCCCATACATCCCTGACTGATGAGCTGGCAGATTTGGGCAGTCTAATAGCTCCAGATGCAGCAAATACTGTCACTCCTAAAGCCTCACAATGAGGGTCTGTGCTTCCAATGCTTAATTGCTTCTGTTTTTAAATTATTTAGTTGACAGATGTTATCAATTAAATGTTATTCCACAGATGAAACAGCAGAGGAACATTTGCATTCTCGTTCGTGCTCCCCCTAAAGGACAAAAGCGCTAATGAGACTGCAGTCCTCGCATGTCACGTCACATCTGTATCGATCATTAGCTGCATGACAGACAATAACAAGCAGAACACATCCTGAGCCCTGTGGAAAAGGCATGGCCATGACCTTACGTTTAGATTAGCACATCTGATTTCATATTTTAATAGAATAATAATTAAATAAAAAATATGACTAATATGAAAATAGTAATACTAATTAAAAATAGTCATATGTTACTGAGAAGAAGCAGCTCAGTAATGGCCTTATTTATCTCTCTTTACACATGCTTATTTTAGAGCAGTCTTTTAAAAACATTTTTCTTTGTTTTTATTTTTCTATGTTTTTAAGGAACAAGGAATGTGAATATTTTTAAGGATACTTTTATGCTCATTTATTTTTTACCAAATTATAACAGAATTTACACTTTTGGGGAAAATATTCCAAATGTTTTATTTCACACAATAACCCCCCCCCCCCCCCAAAAAACA